GCCAATTCTCGGTGACCACAGAAATCTCATGTTTTACTTAACACGGAAGCATGAGCCATCCAGTATTTGGGAGGTTGTTGTAATCTAGTCCAGCCAGGTGTCCAGAACACACAAATCTACTCAGAGAAGGCACTGATCATTCTGAGCTCATACCTGTAGCCACGGGGCTATCTAGAGATGGATCTGTGAAAACAACATCCATTGTGGCTGGATGTATCCTCAGAGTAAATAGGAAAGGAACATTTAAAAACAGATTTAGAGAGGAAGGAATAGGAGGGGCTGAAGTTGAAGAGAAGACATGTGTTCTAGTGTTCTGTGGCACAGTCGGGTAAAGATAGTCAACAGTGTTGCATTATATATAACATATGCAATAATATAATATGAAAATAGCTAGGAAAGATTTTGAATGCATTCACCATGCAGGCAAATACAGATTTAAAGGGATGGCTATGTTAATTATTTTCATCAGATAATTCCTTGATATTTAGATAAACCCTAAGTCGAATCGTGTTATAGCTAGTAAAATGAATTTTTTTCTGTGTCAATAAAAAAGAAAGTAATAAAAAAAACAGATCTACAAAAACAGTACTCAGGATGTTGGCCGTCCAGAAAGAAGAGAGGTTGCCTGCTAATGCTCTGATTCACACATCTCTTTCAGCCCTGGAAGTATGGCGTGCAGGACTCATGGGCTTTAGCTTTACAGTTATCCACATGTGGAACGCTGGATGAACCCCTCAGTTCTCTCTGGTCTTCTCTGTACTTAGGTTAGAAGTTCTCAACATGGGGTCACAACTTCTTGGGGGTTGCATGTCAGATCTCCTGCATATCAGATATTACATCACAATTCATAGCAGTAGCAAAAGTCCAGTTCTGAAGTAGCAGTGAAATAATGTTATGGTTGCGGGTCCTCACAACATGAGGAAATGGATTAGAGGGTCACAGCATTGGGAAGGGTGAGAACCACTGCCTTACGTGATTGGATGAACCAGGTGTTCTGTCAAACTTCCTTGCAGTGCTGTCTCCTGCCTTTGAACTCCTTAGTCCTCCCCCTTGATCTGTGAATGTGTGTGTGTGTGTGCATGAGACGTGCACATGCTTTGGTGCACATGTGAAAGGCAGAGACAAACTAAAGTGTTCATATCCTCATTAATTCTGGCTTTCAAAGCCATAATAACTGTGACCACTGCGGTGTTCATTTTGTCTAGTCAGACCAAGCTTTCAATTTATTTCCCCCATTGGTGCTGATAGTGTTTTAATTTTTAAAATTATTATCTTATGCACAAGTGTCTACATTCATGTACATCTCTGCATCATGTGTGTGCAGTACCCACAGAGGTCAGAAGTGATCATTGGATCCCCCAGAACTGGAATTACAATGGCTGTGAGCAGCTGTATGGGCACGACATTGAATTTGGGTCCTCTGGGAGGGCAACCGTTTCTCTTAATCCCTGACTCTCTCCCGACGGTGTTTGGCATTAGTTATAGGATGGGGAGTGGGGGGGGGTGCAAGTGATGGACATGCAGTGCTCATGTATGAGGTTCTTGAATTTCTCTTTTTATTTATTTTTGGGATTATAATACAATAACAACATTTCTCCTTCCCCTTTCCCCTCTCCAGACCCTCCTATGTACTCTCCCCATTCTCCTTCAAACTCATGGCCTGTTTTTCATCAATTGTTACTGCTTGCATTTATATATTTTTATATGATGTCTGTCTGTCTGTCTGTCTGTCTATTCCTAAATATAACCTGTTCACGCTTTATAATGTTATGTGTATGTATGTTTTCAGAACTGGTTGGCACTGGATAGCCAAGGGTGTGCTCTTCCTTAGGGAGGGTCAGCTCTCCTGCTATCAGCTTTTTTCAGTTGCCTGTAGTTCTTTGTGTAGTGTTGAAGCCTTATGGGATTTTCCCTGTCCAGTGTAGAATCAAAAATCCACTCCCCTCAGGGGTTCTCTGTGTAGTCCTGGCTGTCCTGCAACTCATTCTGTAGACCCGGCCAGCCTCAAACTCACAGACGTCTACCTGCCTCTGCATCCTGAGTGCTGGGACTAAAGGTGTGCACCACCACTGCCCGGCGCAGGCATTCTTTAAAAAATAAAATGGAATGTACATTTTTGGTTTTTAAAGAGGGTTTGGTATATTACTGGAGGTACATAGCCAGACATCAGCGTCTCCAAACAGGCTCAAGGTGGAAAATGATAGAATTTCAAAGCTCTGGTTAGTAGAGAATAATATTATTTGTGCTAAAGTGTTTGGATTTTTCAATTTTTAAAGTTTTTTTTTTATTGTTAGTCTCCTTTGAAAGAGACCTAAGAATGGCTGATAGTCAGTGATGATTACCTTGTAATGATTGACAGAGGAAAGGGTGGTGGCATTTAAAGAAGGAAATTAGTTACTCCTCTGTGATTGAAGGGTGTCGTTTAGCATTCCCGAGGTTAAATAACCACTACATTTTTTCTTATACATTTCTATTAAAATTAAGTACCTCGTAAATTGTTAGTGAGACACAGCAAGGTGACAACGAATGACAGAATTCCTGATTATACTGGTTAAAAAACTACAACCCATAAAATAGAATTAAGCTCAGAAAAGCACGTTTATCCATTATTCTTTCAAACCTGTGAAGAGCTGTTGAAATCTAGGGCATGGGGACCGGAGGGTCAGTGGGGCTCACACCCCTCACTATACTCCTCCCTTTACTGGCTTGACCACGCCGTGCTTCTGTGTCCAGTCTCACTGTCTTCTACACCCCGTGTAGCCCTTTGTTGTGTGTTTATTGCTTACCTCGAATCAAGAGCAACATCCATTGTTTCTTTAAACTCCCTCAGTGAATAGTCAGTAGGAGCACAGACAGGGAGAGGGAGAGAGAGGTACTTGTTTTAGTTACTTTCTCTATTGCTGTGGTAAAATACCCAACAAAGGCAACTTCAGGTTTATTTTGTTTCATGGTTCTAGTTACAGTGATTCATCACGCTGTGGAAGTCAAGATATTAGGAATTTGCAGCAGCTAGTCACATGATAAGGGGGTGGGGTAGAGGTAGAGGTGTGTGTGTGTGTTTGTGAGAGAGAGAGAGAGAGAGAGAAAGAGAGAGAGAGAGAGAGACAGTGTTAAGTTCAACTCTTTTTGTACAGTTCAGTCAGGATCCCACCCTCAGGAATGGTGCCACTCACAGTGGGCAGGCCTTCCCTACCTCAGTTATCCAAATCAAGCTAATTTTCTACTGTTGTGCCCAGGGGCCTATCTCCCAGTGGTTCCATATCTTATCAAATCAACAATTGAGATTAACCATCCTAAGGGGTATGATTAGAAAGAACTTGGGGACAGATTGAAGAGAATGTTCTAAATGTTGGGGTTGTTGGATAATATTGAAGAGTGTATTGTAAATATTAGGTTATTACTTTTTAGTATGTTGAGAACAAACAGAAGAAATTTATTCTAAGTACTACTATTTTGTTTTCAGGCTCCATTTACTCATAGGGAGAAACAAAATTCAAGGTCCCAGGCTCTAGGGGAGCTTAGGACTTCCCAATAGCTGAACAACTTCTGTCCAGACATCTCAGGGACAACTTCTCCATCTTGCTGGCAGGATCAAATTAAATTCATATTCCCAGGCTCAGGAACCAACTCCTATCTTGATTGGTGAAATTCCCTTGCTCAACCCCTTATGTCAAAATATAATAGGACAAGGCTACATCCCACCCAGCTCCTCCTCTCTTATGGTTTTGTCCTTTAAATAGGCTGTAAAACATCTCTTCAGGGCTACAGTTCAGCTCCTGAGTCTGTCCTACAGCCCTGATGGATTAGTAGCGGCTTGATTGCAATACATTTTTGTCATCTGCATTGACCTGGTGTTTGAGATGTGTTGGATTTATGTTATTTTTAAGTGAACCCCAAACAGTAGGTGACTAACAGATTTATCTGTGTTCTGGAAAAGTGAACTCTGGTGTCAGTCTGAAGGATGGATTAAAGAAAAGAAAAGGGGCTGGGGGCTAGTGGGGTAGTTAGTAGGTGCCAGTGAGCTGGTGCAAGGGAGACAGAAGAATTAAGGAAACCCAATCAATAAAGAACAGGCAGATTTGCTGTTCATTGGTTATACACAGGGAAGTTGAGAGGGTCCAGGTTTAGCCCGAAAGAGCAAGGAAAAACAAATGGTTAAGGATTTACTTTATGTGGCAAGAATGACTGAGGTAGGTCTTTATCAGTTACTGGTTAGCACTGTCCTCCCTCCCCACTTTTTAAAATCTTCCCTACTATTTATTTATTTGAGACAGTGTTACGTTGTGTAGCTCTAGTGCATCTGGAATTCCTCAGTGTAGACTAGGCTGGCCTGGCCTTGTACTCACAGAGATCTGCCTGGGACAAACGACATGTGTCAACATGCCCAGCCTTTATTTTTAAATTGCATTTGTTTGTTTATATTTGAGACAGGGTCTTACTATGTATCTTTGGTTTTCTCTCTGTGTGTCTGTGTGCATGCAAGGCATAATGAGTGTGGCCGTCAGAACAACTTGAAGGTGTCCTCTCCTTCCATTGAGTTTCAGTAATTGAACTCAAATAATCAGACTTAGCATCATGCACCTTTAAGGGCAGAACCATCTCACTGGTTTATTGTATTACTTTTAAGAAATTCGAATACAGGGCCTCATATAGCCTAGTCTGGCCTTGAACTGACTATGTAGTCAAGGATGATCTTGAAATTCTGACTCTCCTTTGTCTCCTCTGTGCAGGGGTTAAGAGAAAGGCGTTACTATGCCGGGATTATGAGATGCTCAGGACTCGAACACAGTTTTGTGCAGGAGAGCCACAGCGCCTGGCCCCAGGCCTCACTCTCTCGGCCCCCTGTAGTCACGGAGGCGAGGGTGGTGGGTTACGCCTGCGCACTAGCGGCGTCGCGCACGCGCAGCGCGGGGCGGGCCTCTGCTGTCAGTCTCTGCGCGGGCCACGGCCCTCCCCTGCGCGCTGCGTTCCGGCTCCTCCTCCTCCAGCCTCCTGGTCCCCGCCATGGTGCTGGAGTCGGTGGTCGCTGACTTGCTGAACCGCTTCCTAGGGGACTACGTGGAGAACCTGAACAAGTCCCAGCTAAAGCTGGGGATCTGGGGCGGTAAGCGCGATGCCACGGCCTGCCGGCGTGGGAGAGGGGGCTGCGCGTGTGGAAGCCTGGGGACCCCGGGGACCTCGCTGGGCATGCCCCTGCTGTCGACGTAGCCACACAGGGGCAGCGCGCTGCTTAGCAGTCCCCACTAACGCCTCAGAATAAAACAAGAAAAACAAATGTAATCATTTACCTCAGCAGTGGACGTCAGAGGGCGGCTCACGCTTCCTACAGTGCCAGCTTGTCCTCCTTACCCGCCTTGCATCTCATGGCCCCAGGATGGTTCCCAGCCCGGGGAGGTGGGATGGACAAGGGGTGACAGTGAGAAGAAAGGTGTGACTTGTCCCCAAGGACTCCTAACTTAGGAATTCCTACCATTGGCCATTTCCTAGTTAGGTAGAGGACTCTGCAGTTTTTTGTTTTTGTTTTGAAATAGACTTTCGAGCTACTGGCCAGAGGCATCATTAATTAGGGATGTCTGCTAGGGTGCAAATTCGAGAAGACCTGCCAAGTTTATTATCCTGGAGGTTAGGAGTAGAAAAGTCTTGTAATAAGTGGCCTGCTTCTGCATTCTTCAGTAAGCTTGGATTTGAGAGTGTAGCTCAGTGGCAGAACTTCTGCTTCTAGCCTCAGCACCGTAGAATACCAACACAGATAGGCTGTTTGGGGATGTGGGGAGTACTTGTATTAATTTACTCGGTTACTATAAGGCTTGTGAATTTTGTCAGCTTTGGGAGAAAATTAAAAACAGCATTCAACTTAAATGGACAGAGTTACTTTTAATTGTCAGCGATTTCAGTATAGACTTGTTCTGTCTGGTTGCCATTTGCCAATGGTGAGGCTGGCTGTTTGGTGCTTGAAATGTGGTTACATGCTCCGAGTATAAAATAAGCTGGGTTTCGAAGATGAGCATTTCACTTAATGGAGGACAAAAAACAAAACAGCATCTTAATAAATTCTATGTTGGCTCCGTGATGAAATGCTATTTGACTAGATTGAATTAAATACATTATTAAAATTCAGAACCATCATCAGCTACAAGGTCAATTTATAACGAGATTACAAGAAACATAATCACGAAGCTAAAATGCATAGGTTGTTCTCATCCGCTCTGCTGGGCTTGTTTATCACTATTACCTACCATTAGCAAGTACAAAGGACTAACACATTATGTCTGTCAAAAATCTGGACTCCTAAAATTAAGGATTAGGGAGAGGTACCCTATTTTTATTGGACAGTGCTGTCATTGAGTTATGACTGTCTCCTGAATTATGTTGGGACATATGTTTTATTTTAAAATAGGCTGCTGCTCACTTTTTTTGGGTGATTCTTCCGTAAATACACACGTCATGTATCCATCCCTGCTACATAATACAAAAGGAAAAGTTTCTAAAAGGAGTTAAGTGAATATCTCCTTCTGCACAAAGAGAAAGGGCGAGAGAGTTTTTCAGAATTCTTGCAGTAATGTCAGTTATTCTTTGTAAAGCATTTGAAAAAAGTGCTTCAGTGTGAACTCTGACCTAGAACACCTATATATAGTTCTAGGCCTGCTAGTGTGTTGGGTAAGCCATTTATCGTAAGGACCTTTGTTTTTTATTTCAGCTTCCAGAGAGAAAGCGTTTGTCTGATCTGAGGAGTTTAAATCACACCTGACAAGATGAAATTCCCATTAACCACTCTTCAGGTTTTACTGGTTGCCTTGTCCTCAGTTTAGGTCTTTTACAAAAGAAATAAAATGTATGGTGCAGTTGAAGATTCCTTCACATCCAAATCGTACTCACTTTTAAGGTTAGGAGTTTGACATGTTAGCATCTGAGGCCCCTTCCAGTGTCTGTATTGTGTCGTTCAGTTTGTAAACCGTTTGACAGTGAAGATAGTCTGAAGACTTGGAGATTATTCACACTGAATTTAAGTGTTAAGAGCTGTGTCACACCTCCCACCTCACTGTCTCTCGTGACATCTAGGAATGAGACTTTTCTTTATTCTGTTTTCTGCTTTAACTTTCTTTGTGGTACTGGAGTCCCAACTCCAGGCCTTGATGGTGCCCAGTGACATTCTGCCATGAGCTATAATATACCCTTAGCTCCATTTTATTTTTTTTTTAGAATAACATATTCTGCCAGTAGTATGCATTAACTGTGCAGTGTGCCTGAGCAACAGATACATTGGTCTCTTTCACCAGCTGTCCCCAGAACAGTCGGTGGTTGCGTTTTGTCAGCTCACAGCTCAGCTCTGTAAAGTTTAACTAATGGTTTCTGGATGTCATGTGTTTTGTAGTTATTGCTCAACATGTGGTCTTCTAATCCGATTCTCCTTAAAATAGAAATAGAGTCCGAGTTGACTATGACTCAAGATAATAATGCTGGAGAAACTGGTCTTAACCTTTATGGGGTCGGTAAACAAATGGGATATTAATGAAATCATTGATAAGACATCAATGGTGCTGACAAAACTTTTCAAGAAAATTTGAAAGTGATATGTAGTCCTATTTGAAAACTACATGTGTGTTAGTAGGTAAAATTTAAGTGTCAGTGTTTTTTTTAAACCTTTTTAAAACTTTGCATGTTCAAAACTTTATAATAGGAGGATTCTTCCTCTAGAAGTTTTACATATGTAGGTTTATTTTTTATTGTTCTTTGGACTAGAGATTAGACTAGCCCAAAGCAGTTGATTTCAGTATCTGGAGGCTTTTTGGCAGTGCTTGAAATGCTATCAGCTGAGGAGGTGTGCTGCTGGCATGTGGTAGGTAGAGCCTAGGGATACTGTGAAAACATCTAGCAGTGTGAGAGATGAACAGTCAGTAATGAACTGCTGTTCTGCCCTGCATAGTAGTTGAGAATCTGGCCTAGGGAGAAAATGGAGACTGTTTCCTGCATATAATTGAGACCCAGCGGGTTAACAGCTTTTACTAGGGAGTAAAAGAGAATCTAGAGAGTACACTACTCTTAAGAGATTTCTAACAAGATGAACAGGTATCTTTAATGACTTGACATTTATCATGTCCACAAACATGCATGATCTTTCCTTTGATGTGCCTGGGGAGTTTTGAAAGTCAAAATGTAGTTGCTATAATCTGAAAAACATGCTGGACCTATGAGACATCCACACAATGAAACAATGAAAGCCATAATAAAGAAGAAAACTGTAGCATGAAAAAGAAGGAACAAGTTATTAGAAAGTCTAGAATCAGGTTAATATTCTGGAAGTTTCTTTTAAGTTGAAGAATGAACAAGGCCAGCAAGATGGCATTCTCAGTGGGTAAGCATGCTTACTGCCAAGCCTGACTTGTCAGAGCTCAGTCCCTGCAGTGCACATAGTAGGAGAGAACTGACTCCTACAAGTTGTCCTCAGACTCCACATGAAGGCATAGTGACACACACACACCCATATATAATAATGTAATAATTTTAAAAACTTTTTTAACTGAAGAAGCAAAGGCAATAAAATAATAATAATAATATTCATAGAGGATGTAAAGGGCTCTAAACTTTGTGACTAAATTTTGGAAATTATTTATTTATTTATTTATTTATTTATTTATTTATTTATTTGCTTACTGAGACAGAGTTTTTCTGTGTAGCCCTGTCTGTCTGTCCTGGAACTCTAGACTAGACTGGCTTCAAACCCATGGAGATCCTCCTACCTCTGCCTCTGCCTTCTGAGTGCTGGGATAAAAAGGCATGTGCTATCAGCTTCCATCTTGGAATTTATTCCTAAAAGATTATTATTATTATTTCTTTCTCTCTTTTTTTAATGATTTATTTATTTATTTTATATGTGAGTACACCATTGCTCTCTCTTCAGACACACCAGAAGAGGGCATCAGACCCCATTGCAGATGGTTGCCAGTGACAGTGTGGTTGCTGGGAATTGAACTCACGAAGAGCAGTCAGTGTTCTTAACCACTGAGCCATCTCTCTAGCCCCTTAAAAGATTATTTAATGCCAAACAATTCTTAAGTATTTTTGAAAATGGTTTAGGCAAAATACAGTTTTAAAACTTGCTGCTGTAGAAACAGGTTCCAGTTCACTACTTATAGGATCCTGGAGAAAAACATTTTAATTCTCTAAGCCTCAGTTTCCTAATCTGTAAGGAGAAATACAACAGGAAGTGTCCATGATGAAGGTCCAAGAAAAGTCCTTTGTAATTGTTAGTGATGTATGGTAATGGCGGGCAGGTCAGCCTGCTGTTACATTTTCTGAAGCATGTTTCCTCTAACATCATGCATCTGCTACCATCATACATGCATGTGAATGTCTTTTACCCTCCCTCCAAATTCTTATAGGCACGGGAATTTTGTGCAATTAATTTATACTTCACAGTGCTCATGTTTTCTGTGCCAGTGTGTAGGACAGCCTTCAAAGGCTCGGACTTGTGCCTGGTGGGCAGGTACTGCCAGATGAAAATGTTTATCTAGGCTTTTGATCCCTACAAACTGGTACCAGCAGATAAATTACACAGCCCTTAGCTGTTTGAGAGGAATCCAGGATTTAATTGTTTTGAGCGTAACATGTCTCTAAAACAGTGTGTCGAAATGTCAGATCTTTTGCAATTTGGGTTAAGTGGTGTTGTAATGTAGAATCTGCCAGTTTGATTTCTCCAGGCTTTTTACTGTGGAGGAACAAGAGCAGCTTCCATTCAGGACTCTCTCACGTCCCTTAATCCAGTGGACTGAACTTTAGATATGGTGTGTAGGATGACAGGGGTGGCTGTGGTACCGGAACAGGAACCAGGATGTAGTGCACACAGAGTTCATAACCCCCTAAGCCAGGCTCTGGGGTGCAGTTTCGGGTCCTGTCCTTCATCCTGGAGGCCCTTTCCTATCAGCCCACAGTTATGGGTGGAGTTCCTAGTCCAAATGCTGAGGACTAGAATTGCTGTAGATTCTGGATTTTGATTTTTCAGAATTTAGAATATATATAGGTGTGATGTGATTTCTTGGGGATGACAACCAAGTGAGCATAAAGTTCAGTTTTATTTCATGTGCATATCGTGCCTTACAGTTGTTT